TTAGGGCGGAGCGGAGAGCTGCCACAGGGGCGTCGGGGGGGGGGGGGCGGACAAGGTGGAAGTTTCGCCTAGGGCGGGAAACATCCTTGCACCCACCCTGCTTAGGGAGCTGAGAACCTGACATTCTTGTGAAAAGTATCACAGGTGGTTCAGCATTTCATCTCCTCTGGAATATCATGCCTCCCACAGCACAGTCACCTGGCATCACAGTGGGGTGTTGATTTAGCACTAACTCAGAGGGACAAGGGCCACCTCCTAAATCCCCAGCAACATTTCCTGTAGTGTCTGGATTTCCCTTGGTGTTTTCTCAAGCAAGTTGTTATAACCAAAGACAATGCTACAATCCTGCAGCATTCCCCACAGGAAAGCCAAGTCACAGCTTGCAGAGGTGTCCTGCATCTGGTAACAGCAGCTTCTGTGAAGGTTGCTAGACTTTCCTACTTTCCCATTTTTCTCATCTGTTTACAGTGGAATTGGCTGAGCTCCATTTGTTAATATTTGATAGGGCCTGTCTGCCCTCTGAACTCAAGGCGTTTGCTCTCCAAGGATACTAAATATAATTTAGCTCTGTAATAAACCTGTGCAGCAATCTGCACCTTTGGTAGCTGGAGGGAAATTGCAGAGAGTGTTTAGTTTGGGCTTCAAGATCCAGTTCCATCTAGAACACAAGTAAATACTGCAATCAAGAGATATGATTGACACTAGCATTGGATGTCCTGCAGGTGGAAACCTACAGCAGTCTCGTATGCACCCTCTGGATGTCAGTCTCACCTGCATCCCAGTCCACCTGGAGGATTATTATTACTGTAGGTCCAGGAACCGCAGTTAAGGATCAGGGCCCCGTTGTACTAGGCACTGTACAGCCAAGTAATGAGGAAGATAGTCCTTGCCACAGAGAGCTCATAATCTACTGTCAGATAGGATAAAACAGGTGGATGAAAGAGACAAACAGGATGGGAGGTTGCTCTAACAAAATAAACAAAGGTCTGGCTACTGCAGGCTTCTGCCCTGCACCACTGTAAACCAGCATCCCCACTACCATGCACTATCACCTTGTCTTTTTCTGAACATGTCTACAGTTGTGAGCCACATGCAGCTTCTCTGGGCATCATGCTCTTGATGAGAAGAATGTAGCAATTTCATTAAGTCATAGATTTTAAGACCAGAAAGTATTATTAAGACCATCTAGTCTGACTCCCAGTATAACACAGGCCAGAGAACTATACCCAATATACTGTGTATCAAGCACATAACATGTCTGTTAGAAAACGATCCAGTCTTGATTTAAAGACTTCAAGTGATGGAGAATCCACCACATCCCTAAGGATGGTGTTCCAGTGGTTAATTAACCTCACTGTAAAAAATACGCACCTTATTTCTAATGTGAATGCATCTAGCTTCACCTTCCAACCTTTGGATTGCATTATGCCTTTTTCTGCTAGATTAAAGAGCTGTCTGCTATCAAAAATCTTTCCCCCCATGTAGATACTAATAGCTGTGATCAAGTCACCTCTCAACCTTCTTTTGGTTAACTTGATAGATTGAGCTTCTTAATGCTTTCACTCTAAGGCATGTTTTCCAGATCTCCAGTCGTTCTTTTAGCTCTTTTTGGAACCCTTTACAATTTTTCAACATTGCTTTTGAAAAGTGGACAGCAGAACTGGACACACTATTCCAGTAGTGGTCTCACTACTGCCCCATGCAGAGATAATACCAGCTTCCTACTCCTACATGTATGCCCTAAGGTCATATTTGCCCTTTTTGCTACAGCATTGCACTGGGAGCTCATGTTAAACAGGTTACCTACCATGACCCTTCAGTCCTTGTCAGTGTCACTGCATTCTAGAGTACTGTGTCCCATCATTTAATGTGACCTACATTCTTTGTTGCTAATATGACTTGTAACTGGCTGTATTAAAATGCATATTATTCAAATGATAGCACCTTACCAAGCGATCCAGGTTAGCCTGTACAACTGGTCTGTCCCCACCATTATTTACCAATTTTTGTGTCAACTGAAATTTTACCAGTAGTGGTTTTAGCTTTTCTTCCGGATTATTGATAAAACTATTTAATAGCATTAGGGCCAAGAACAGAGCTCTGCAGGCCCCTGCTAGGAACACCCACGTTGGACGACTATTCCCTGTTTACGGTTATTTTGTGAGATTATTTTTAATCCATTTAATCCTCTGATGCTGCAAATGGTGGTGGGAATGACCAGCCAATCAGTCACTGGTGCAAAAGACAGATCTAAGTTAGTGCCCTTTACAGCCAAAATATATACTTTCTCCATCCCCAGCTTCTGGCAAGAAGCTTGCCCCTCACAACAGGGCTTCAGAGACGGTTTCTGCAGGTTGCTGCTCTCAGGACAATCCATTGTGAGGGGGATTACCAGCAGGTGTCTGTAGATTCAGGTTTCAGAGTGGTAGCCATGTTAGTCTGGTTGGTGATGGGATGTGGCCCAGACTTAGTGGCAATCCTGAGAGCACTGGGGCCTGCTGGGCACCGCTTACCCTGCGCTCCTGCTCTGGGATTGAGAGGCCAAATACTGTAGATACCCTTTATTCTTGGAGGAGGCCCTGTCACCCAGCACACCATTCACCAGTTTATGCCTTTGGGCCTTGCCCTTGATGTGCCTTTGGCCTTTTGTTAATGGAGCTACACAATTGTTGGCTTCACAGTGGAATGGGCACTGGGGCATGGTGGTAAAGCAAGTGTGCCCAGGTCATCCAGTGCCTGCCTGGAGCAGCTGCTTTGCTTCAGTCAGCTGCACTTTTGTCCTCTGTGACACTAGGAGCTTTTGGTGAGTTTTGTCAGTTGCCTTCTCCTGATTTCTGCCTGTGGTCCCTCATTGCAGCTGGTGCCCTGGGTGACAGGGCTGCTGCCTTTCTGAAAATGCCAGGCAGGGAAATGAGCTAATTTCAAAATCTTTAGGGAGATTCTGGGGGCTGCTGAGGTACTCAGAACCTTCTGGGGCCCGATGCCCCCATGGGATGAAGCTAGTGGATGCAAGTTACTCATGTCCTGCAGGGGAGAATCAGGACTCTGGGCTGTAGATATTCTGAGATGCAAGTGGAGCCATTTTATGGCTCTTTCCCTGCCCCGGGGATTCATTTGCCAGACACACACAATTCCTGGGCCCCTGCTGTTGATGTGCAACCTGGGACATATCCCACCTGGATTCTGAGCTCACAGCTGCACTGGGATGAGACTCAGGTTTATAATGACTCTTCTCTGTGTGGCTCAGAGATCAATGTTCTGGAACTGGGAATGCCTCCAATTCGGGGGAAGCTGAGGCCCCTCTCAATGCTGATGGACAATGTTCTTCCAAGAGGCCCCTTTAGCAGCTCCTCAGGGATTTCTCCAGAGCAGAATGTGCCTCCAGGTGAGACTCTTTCCACTCTAGTGACCCTACACTCTTACCTTTGTAAATCACCCCTCTGGGATTTGCAGCAGCATTGAGGACATGCTAATTAGTCTGAATCAATTTTTGAGAGGCTGTGCTGGCATCGAGTGTGGGGCTGCTATGGCTCACAAAGGTCTCGTTGTTAGGAAAACAGTGGGATTATCTGAGTAGCTGCTAGAGTTTGGGGTGGCGGGGAGAGAAACAGGCTTTTCTTCTGACGCATACTTGTAGGGTTTCATAGGTGCTTTGTGTCACTCAGGGGGCTTAGAAAGGGGAGTTATCAAATCCTCCTTGGCTGGGTAAAGGCCCAAAGGCGGGAGGCATTGGAAAACCCCCACAAATGATCATCAAAGCACCAGGAGTGCCTGGGAGAGGAAGATCTGGCCCCCTGGATTCTTCATATCTGACAGCGGCTGAGATCAGTGATTAACAGATGTTTTTATTATTGCCTTTTCAGAGATTGGCTTCAGGCAATGGCCACTTCGGTGGGGACATTCCCAGCTGCTCTGTTGACTCCAACACCTGCTTTCCAGCTGACAGCAAATACCACCAGCGAAGGTGAGGAGAATTGCGTCTTCAATGAGGAGTTTAAATTCATCTTGCTGCCCGTGTCCTATGGGTTTGTCTTTGTGGTGGGGCTGCTGCTCAATTCCTGGGCCTTGTGGATGTTCATCTGTAAGATGAGGCCCTGGAACGCCACCACCACCTACATGTTCAATCTGGCTGTCTCAGACACTCTGTACGTGCTTTCTCTCCCCACCCTGGTCTATTACTATGCTGACCGCAACAACTGGCCCTTTGGGGAGGGACTCTGCAAGATTGTGCGCTTCCTCTTCTATGCCAACCTATACTGTAGCATACTCTTCCTCACCTGCATCAGCGTGCACCGCTACGTGGGGATCTGCCACCCCATTCAATCGCTCGGGTGGGTGAAGACCAAGCATGCCCGCCTCATCTGCGTGGGTGCGTGGTTCATTGTCACCATCTGCCTCATACCCAACCTGATCTTTGTTACCACCAGCACCAGCGGCAACAACACTCTTTGCCATGACACCACCAAGCCCGAAGAGTTTGACCACTATGTGCACTACAGCTCCTCAATCATGGCCCTCCTCTTTGGCATCCCCTTTCTGGTGATCGTCGTGTGCTACAGTCTGATGGCTAAGAGGCTTTGGAAACCCAGCCCATCCAGCTCCAACCAGAGCATCCCCTTCTACAAGAAACGCTCTATCAAGATTATCATCATTGTAATCACAGTCTTTGCCATCTGCTTCCTACCCTTCCACATCACACGGACACTGTACTATACTGCCAGGCTCTTCCAAGCCAACTGCAGGACCCTCAACATTGTCAACTTCACCTACAAGATCACACGGCCTCTGGCCAGCATCAACAGCTGCATAGACCCCATCCTGTACTTCCTGGCTGGGGATAAGTACAGGGGAAGGCTGCGTCGGGCTGCGCTCAAAATGCCCAAATCTGAGAACCCATCTACTCTAGCCCTTGTCTCACAACTCAAGAAGAATGGCTTCTCCACCTCCCGAGGTGCCAGCTACTCCATCAATGATGCCTGAGAAAAGGGGGTGAAACTGACAGACAATGGATGCAGCAAGGGGTATTGAAAGGGCTAGAGCCTGGGGAGCCAGTATGCATCTAGGCCAGAATGTGGGACCAGCATTAGGGAAGCCAGTAGAGTTGCTGGGTTAGTCTCACTCCAGAACGGAGGTCTTCTCCATCTCCTCCTAATCTCTGTGAATTATTTCCCCACTGTGCTGTGTCTGCTTCTCACACAAACATTCTGGCACCAGGTTTAACCTCTGAATGCTTTTGAACTAGGTGGTTTACATTCCCACTCTCAGAGCATGCTCCACCCCCTCACACAGACCAAACATCCATCTCAGAGCCAGGGATATTCCCTGTCTTGTCACAGCATGGGAGAACTGCCCAGAGTAATGCCAATGGGAGTGCAGAGAGAAGAGACCCCTACGTCCCATAAGGAAATGGAGGAGGCCAGAGGGATTGTCTTATGAAGAGTACGAGAGACTCACAGGTAGCGAATTCCCTGCTTCAGACGCAAGTGGACAAGGCAGCCAGGGCAGGCAAGGAAGCACTTTCAGGGCACTGGTTCTAGCAATGCAGAAGAGAGACTGGGGCTGGCTCTGGCAGGATGCAGGTGATGGGGTAGGGATGCACACAGAGTTAAAGCCTGCGGAGTGGCCATGGAATTGTGTGTGTATTGTACATGCTGTTACATGTCTCTGTCCCTTTGTGTATGGGAGGGCATGACTCACCCTATAACTAACAGAGAAGGCACCACAGCACCTTTGCTCCCAACTCTGCTAGCTCCAGGTGGTTGGAGGGTGGGTAGAGCCCCCAGGACAATGAAGCCCATGAAAGCAACTAATTGATCCATGAATAAAATGTTTTCCTGAGCAATTTTCCTAAGGCCCAGGACTGTTTCCCTCCCTATTGCCACCAGGAAATCAATAAACAGGAGAGAACTG